GAAGAAGAAGAGAAGAAGAGGAGGAGGAGGAAAAGGAAGAAGGCAGGTCGAGCTGCTTTTCTGGGGGTGAGGCTGCAGGGTGGTGGATCCAGCCAATCAGAGGGCGCAAAGGCCTGTCCTTACGTCATACGACACTCCATCGCGAAGTTCTAGTCGCTGCCGCTAGCCACCAGAATTGCGGAGAAAGCAAAAGCAAGCCTAGTAAGACTATAAGAAAGGCGAGAGGTTGACGGGATGACGCTGACGGGATGACGGCAGTTTGCATCATGTCAGAGGAAGTTAAGACTGGCGGTGGGCTCGGTCGATGGCCATAAGGGCGTTGGTTTAAGGCATTTTTGGCGGCGGCGGCGGCGGCGGCGGCGGTGGTGGCCGTGCTATAGTTATATAGGTTGTTGGTGGTACTCCGTACTGTGCATACTGTGCATACTTTGTGTAGAGCATGATAGCAAAGTTGGAGACGACTCCGTAGAGCAAGCATGTTGTGGCAGACAACAACATAGCGTTATGTAGACATACAGCCATAGATAAGACTAATACAGTGCAAGAAGAGGTAGAGTAAGGATACACGCTCAAAAGGACGAGAGACACGACGGATGACAGACGACAGACGACGACAGGATACGGTGGATATCAGAGGAAAAGAGGGAGCATATGTGAGTGCGTGCAGAAAGAGATAAGACCACCAGCTAGTGCCAGTAGCCGGTGCGAGTTAAAATAAGGTATCGAGAAGACGCGAAGACGCAAAGACGAGAACGAGACCAGAGCCATTCGCCTGCATGCTGAGCATTCCGAGAGAGAGAGAGAGAGAGAGAGAGAAATAGAGAAGAGAGAGATAGAAGAGAAAGAGAAAGAGAAAGAGAAAAAAGAGAAAAAGAATAAAAAAGATAAAAAAGATAAAAAACGAACCAGGGATGAGATGATGACTAATAAAGACAGACCGAGCCAAAAGAGGGAAAGAGCAAGCTAGAGAAAGGAAAGAACGCTAAGATGCAGGAGAAGGAAGGAGCAAAGGACAGAGAAAGATCTACGTAAGAGGCAAGAGAGATAGCAAACACAAGGCAAACAAGGCAAACAAGGCAAACAAGGCAAACAGGACAAACAGAGTAAACAATAACGCCATTAAGCCAAGAAGAAGCAAACGAGAGATGATAAAAAAGTATAAGGTGGGAGAAGAGAGAAGAGAGAAGAGACGCATCACTGGTAGTAGACGGGGCCGTTTTGGACGTGCGGAGGGTGAGGATAGTAGTAGGTCGTCGCGCCGGGGGGAGTCATCATGCCGCCCATGCCGAGGACGCCGCCGGCCGGTGGGACAGCTGCCGCAGTGGTCGTGCCCGAGCTGGAGCCCGGAGCAGAGACCTGAGAGGCATCGTAGTAGTACACTGTCCCGTTGGACTCGTGGGCTACGGTTCCCGGGCCGGTGCCAGGACCAGCGCCGCCGGGAGTATAAGGGTACTCTGTTCCGGTGGCCGGAGGGACAGCAGCAGCAGCATACTGGTTGTGGTGCGGGTGAGTGTGGTGAGGAGGGTGTTGTTGTTGTGGTTGATGTTGTTGTTGGTGGTGGTGGTGGTAAGGCTGGCCGTAGTAAGCTGGCTGCTGTCCCGGTCCCGGCTGCTGGTACGTCACTGGCTGGAAGGGAGCCGCATGGATGGCTCGCTCGGGGATCTGGGACAGCGGAGTGGCTGAGGTCGGCGGAGGATGGGACAGGTGTCTCTGGTGCTGATACATCGGCATCGGCATTGGCATGGGCATGGGGACAGCCATGGGGACGGCCATGGCCATTGGCATGTTCATCTCCGGTGTCGGCGCATAACCGTTCATAGACATTGGCTGAGACGGCTGCTGAGGTACCTGGTGGTGGAATGGCTGGTCCCCTGCCTGTTGCTGCTGCTGTTGCTGACTAAACTGATAAGCAGCGGCCGATGCAGCGGGAGACTCGATATCCGCCACCGAGACTGTCTTCTGTGGACGGGGCTGGTGCATTGGAATGGCCGGGTGCGGCCGGTTCTCCCGGTAGGTCGGGTTCTGCGGCGCAAAGTAAGGACCCGTGGTCGAAGGAGGCACAGATGTCGGTGGTGGTGGTGGCGGCTGTTGCTGTTGCTGTTGTTGCTGCTGCTGTTGCTGTTGTTGCAATTGTGCCGGCTGCTGAACCGGCGTGACCTGGGGAGGAAGGCGGACTACCGGCCTCGAGTCTGGTGGAACAACAGGGCGGGCCATGGTCATGGTCGATCCCAGCGGCGGAGTGGCGCCATTGACGCTCATGTCCCGCCCCATTGACGAGCGCCGAGACATGCTCATGCTCAGGCTGACGCTGGGAGTATGAGTCGGTGCATGGCTGTAGGCACTGCCGGAGTAGACACTGGCCCGTCGGCTAGAGTAAAATCCGCCGCCGCCACTTCCTCCGCCCCGACCTCGGCCGCGGTACGAAGCTTGTTGGTTGGGCCGGAGAGCCCGGGGGATAAAGATAAATGACCGTTCCGTCGAAGGGAATATGTACCGAGGAGCCTGGCCCGGGAGGGAGATGCGGACGGGCTTGTCACGACGCAGCGGAGGGCGGTGCTGCGGAAGGCGGGTATGCTGTCTTTTGGGGACGGCGGAGAAGGGTATCGGGGCTTCCATGCCCGGAAGAAAGACGATAACGGGGACATTGCCGATGAGTATAGTGGTAGAGAAGGATCGGTTTTGTGGAGAGGTGCGAGGAGCCGTAGGTACAGGTTTAGGCTGGTAGCTGGTATTGACATTGTTGTTGTTGGTTGTAGTAGTGCTACCGGCAGCGGTAGTAGTAGCGGTGGTAGCAGCTGAGGTACCCTGAGGCGGTCGACTCGGTTGGTTGACAATATCATGTAGATCATGACGCCAGGGAGCATGTGTAATGTCTGGCTGGGGTTTCCTACATGTTTGCCAGTCAGTACGTCATCATCAAACGCAAAGCAAAAAAAGTACAAAGCACAAAACTCACCGTGAAACGTTGCTGTCGACGATAAGGCCGTGAGGCTTGCTCTTTATCTGCTTGGGCCGTCCACTGCCATTCCCACTGCCAGACCGGTTGTCGTGGAGGAAGAAACCACCTCGCGTAGGCACAAACGAAGGGTCGTTCCTCTTCTGGAAGTATTCGTCCTGCTCTCTTCGTTTCCTCTCGGCCAAGGACTCCCTCTGACCACCACTGCTAGGCCGAGAAGCAGTAGTCGTAGCAGCTGTCTCCTCCTCCTCGTCGTCGTCAAATGTCATTAGATCCCCAATCTCCTGCACCGGCTTCGGTGCCGTCTCTGTGCTTCCGTTCGCCATGCTATCCGTCTCCGAAGTCCGCGCATTGAACAGGCTGTTCCTTTCGCCACCCTCACCATCACCACTGCCTTCTTCTCTGCCTCTTCTTGTTCCACCACCACCACCACCTTGCCCTCGAGGCGTCGTTGTCGAGGTCGAGAACGACTTCTTGGGCCTGAGAGACAGCCTTCCGCCGTCTAGAAGAGACCTCTCACCGCCCTCTGTCTCCGTGATCTCGCTGCATCCGTCGTCCTCGTCGTGGGACTGGGAGCTGACCGTGCCTTCGCTGAGCGAGTCGTCGTCCACTGTACCTGGGAACCCGTCTTCCTCGCCCTCGTCATCGACCGTCCTTCGGCTCGCACCGATCCTGCGGCGATGATGTGGTGCCATCTATACACTAGAGAGTCAGTCTCTACCGTAGACACACTTGTGTGTAGACACACTGCAGTGGTAAGTGGTAAAAAAAAAAGGTAAAAAGGCCGCAAAGTAAAGAAGAAAAAAGCAGGTGGGTGTCAAGACAGGCAGCAGAGTAGCACAGGCATCAACCAGGTACATATATGCCAGCTGCAGGGCCGAGCTCTCCAGTCACTGCCCATTATTGACAGCACCTTGTTGTCCTTCGGTGACTCGACTGTCTGCCTGCCTGCCTGCTCTCGGTCTTTGGGCTTGCTGGCATCACTCTGGGCCTATCCCCGGCGGGGCGAACCAGATGGCGAAAAAATACTAACCACCCCAACTCGAGCAGCACCAAAACAACGCTGAATACAGGGCCAGGACGCACGGGGAGCAGACGTACCTGAGTCAATCTGATCGCTCGTATGCGGCAGAAGCGTGGAACACAGCAGGCAGCGAGTGTCTGCAGTCCAGCATCGGGATGGATTTCCAGCAGAATGTTCGACGGGAGGACGAGAAGCGGTGGACTATTTTTTTTCCCGTGCCCGTTGGTTGACTAGAGGGGACTAGACAAGCTAGGGACGTTGGAGTTGAGACTAGCAGGGATCCTCCTGCAGGCGAGCCATGCAGAGCCACCGCAGCGAAGCAAAGAAGGCGAGAGAAGGTCAAAGATGCGCTGACGTTGAGTTGACGTCGCGATGAGTTGAGGTTGAGGTTAAAGATGAAGTCGAGGATGAAGTCGAAGATGATGAAGTCGGTGAGAAGAAGAGCTGAGTGTTATTCTGCTTAGTCAGCTGGATAGACAGACGTCGACATCACCGTGAGATAAGAAGAGAAGAAGAGAAGAAGAAGAAGAAGATGATGATAGAGATGAAGAGAGATGATGACATTGTATACCCTGATACCCTGATACCCTGATACCCTGATAGCCAGATAGCTAGGGATTATGACTTCTATACCCATAGACAGTCGAAGAGACAGCAGGGAGTCCTCTCTGCCTGCTCTCTGTACTTCTGCTTCTACTGCTTCTGTCTGACTTCGCTCTTGCTGCTGGCTTCTCGCTGGCTTCTTCACTCCAGCTGGACTTTCTCTCTTCTCTTCGCCTTCTCCTCCTATTCTCTTCAATGTTTACTGTCGACTGTTTACTATCATAACATCCATTCTGGCGGACAAAGTAACTAACTAGTTATTACGACCATCCTCATCTCGTCTCCTTGGCCTCGACAACCTCAGAAAAACCCTGGGACTTATTCTGGGCTTCCTTGCTCAGGACAAAGGACCAGAGTCAGTACACCCGTCTTGCTCTTCCTCTACTAATGACCTGTTTCTAACGCTGTCTACAGTCCATTGAAGGTTCCAGCCGGGTCTTGAGAGAAGACGCTGCATACCCACGGCTGACTGCTGAATATTTTCTCTACTGCTACTATCAATCAAGCAGTTTCCTCATAGGATTGAAACTGCATAAATATTACAGGAGAAATTGAGAATGTAAGTGAATGTGACTTGTTATATATTAATACTTGCTAAGCTATTAGGTTATAGGAGGAAGAAGAGACACAACGTTAAAAGCTAGCTCAAGGATAGTCGAACAGATAATCCAACTGTTTGAAGAGAATACCCGAACAAAAGAGTTTATCCGGTTAAGGTATTAGCTACATTATGAGTAAGAGCCAATCTTGGGATTAGAAACTTGCTGATCCAAATGGCATGAAAGTTGCTATAAACTGTCTGACTTGGCTGCTTGCATGGAAAAGAAAATATACCGGCCAACTGGATAGCAGCAACAGCGCCATCAACATGGCGTGCTGCAAACGAATAACGGCAGCACAAGTAGCAATAGCAACACCAGCCATAGCAACAGCAACAATAGCAACATGGTGTGCTGCAAACAAACGACAGCAGAACCAACAACAGCATGGACAGCAGCATGACTGGGCGTTGACTGGCTGATGGATCTTTGAGGGTCTTTGTACACGTATAAATGCACCTACGGGACCTCGCAGGCGGTCTGGTCTAACCGGTCTCTCTCGGGTTACTTGCAGGGTACATACCATGCATGTATGCATGTTCCCGTGGCCGTTTGCTTTGGGCGTTTTGGAAACCAAAGTGAATCATGCATGTACCTAGTTGGTCCAGTGAGACAGTTGAATCCCAGTCACTGCGGTGTCCCTTCACTCAAGGTCTCCAAAGTCTATATATTCTCCCTCCTCCTCCTCTCTTCCCTCTTCATCTTCATCTTCTTTTCTAGCTTCCTTTCTATATCCATACCATAACTATGCCTCTGGCTCATATTACCTAGAGCCAAGGCTCCCCCCTCTGATAGCGGAGATATGTCCATTCTCCCGGTACAAAGGGGGTGGACGACTGGCGGGTAAGTGGAATAACTCACAGAAAGGACATCGTCCAGCAGCCATGCAACTGACGAGATGCCGACAAAAAGAAGACCCCAATCGCCCCCGACGCTCTGGGGTGACCCGGCGGCTGTGGCCTAGGAAAGACAGTCCAGGCCCTTGGCTTAAGTTACCAATCCGCGAAAAGAATCCGAGATACCCTCAAACCAACGCTGGTTGTCATCGACTCCACAGTCTTGGGGGTATGGACAACGGAAGTCCGCAAGTACTTCCCAGATATAAACGTCTATATATACCACTCGTCCAAGCTGTCTTGAACTACTCGGATTCAAGGTGGGAACGTGTCGGCGAGAGAGGACGTGACACCAATGATCATGTCCATAAAATCACTGCTGGGATGTGGACCGACGAAGATGCCAGCGAATTCAACACCGACCGGACCCCCATTCCGTGTTCCTAAAGTTGATCCATAAATCAACATGGCCCACCATTCAAGTTTGACTATATTCCCATCGTCATCCCATCAACACCCGCTGAATCTTCACGCTTTCGATGAGGTTACTTGGGTATATCAATGTGTGGCGGGGACGAGTCAAGCTCTCGCTATCCTCCAGTACAGAAGTAGGAAGAGACTCTGTAATCGAGCCCCCTCGAAGGATCCCTCCTGTATAGGATGCCTAATTGAATCGCTAGACAAAGGTCGCTTGCTCCGTCAAAAGATGCGACAACAAGGTGGGATCCAAAAGCTCCAAGAGTTGAAGCCCGCCTTGTTGAATGTCTTTCTTACTAAACGACGAAATTTTGTCTCTGATATACTCTCCGCTTGCTGAGAAGACGTTCTTCAGTGTTGGAAGAATAGCATTCATCGACTAGTTTAGCTCTTTTAGCTAACTATACTAGATTCGTTATTGACCGGCTGCGATAATGCCTCGAGTGATACGACACATGAGGCTGAGAGCTTGCCAATGAAAGACCTCGATATCAAGGTTCCGGATGAAGTGGCCTAGTTTATTGATGTGGACGAGTATGCAATTACTATGGATAAGGATTCTGAGAATAACGACAGTAATGCCATTGGATGGTGGTAAGTTTCTAAAGCAGCTGTCTAATGGATTTAACTAAAGTTACTAATAACCAATTCTATAATAGTTTTCAGAATCTACTTGAAAAAAACAATTTATGCTCTCACTTTAGTCTCGATATGTACTACAGGGCAAGGTACGACTTGGTTTGACACTCCGACAAGAGCGCAGAAATGATAGTTATACTGGCCGGTTTCCTTTACAGAGGGCCTCGGAAAGGGGGAACGGGCATTCTGTGGAGGAGAACGAACAATGAATTGTAGCCGAGGTGGCTTACGACATGGGATTAGGCAATACGATGATATGCCTACTCCGATGCATAATACACCGTTGTCTGGCAATGGCTGCACTTACACTACTGATCAATCGATGGCACTTTTCGTTGACTGCCATCAAATAGAAAATAGAGCTCGCTGCTCGAATTGCAGCTAAGGACTTGTGCTGATTTTCGACCTCTGTACGGAGGTGGCGGAGATGCTGCGAAATGCGGGAAGCTTTTGAATCAATGCTCTCGACAGACCGGGCGTTCAAGGCCTGAATGAGAAGCTGTACATTGACTAGGTCATCACCCGTTTTCAAACCGACATCCCTGGCTTCAGTATCCTTGTCGTCCAAGGAAGCAATGTTCACCATCTGTTCAATGAAAGCCTTGTTCTCAGAGGTGATGAAGGTCGATGGGGGATTGATGCTCTGAAGCTGAATCACCAGGATAGGGATGGGCTAGAGTACCGGACGTCAGACAAACTACGAGTGTTAAAAATCTTCCCACTCAACAACCCCATCTCGCCTTGTCTACAGTGCACCTTAGCCCTGGCAGAATTAAAGAATATGAGTGTCTGCAGGCTTGTTCAGCTGCATCCGGTCTGGGGACCCTATGTTTGGGATCTTGTAGGTTTCTCCCTTTCCTCCCAGTTTCGCTACGTTGACTAAACATTTCGAGATAGGGCAAATAATTAAATCAACTGAGGAAGTGTTACTTGCTAATTGATATGCATCTAATGCACCTAGATCTCTGGGTTGTAAGTTACAGCTGATTGAAAGCCAATACCTATCTATATACGCTTTTACCTGACAAGCCTGCAGGCCCTTCCAAGATTGCTACATTTAATCATACCACACTATACGATGCACTTGGCCAGAACTGCTCTATGGTCCTAGGTGTCTACGGACGCAGCCTTAGGACAAGTTCCATCATTAGAAGGCGAGACAATGCCAATCCTGCTAAAGCCTTGGTGGTCAGGTACTTATCCTCCTGTTTAAAGATATGGCATACGTTCTCAATTCTGCTATACCCCGGATTTCACTAGCCATACGGTGGAAGAACAGCCACTTGCAAGATTCCGCAAATAAGGGAGCTCAGAATGGTCTCTGAGAGAGAGCGAGTTACAGGGAACCCAGAAGTTATCCTTCTCGTGGCGGACGTCGCACCAAACGCAATAAACCCCCAATGTAAACTACTATAGCGCTTTCAAATAACTGCCCTTACTGCCTCCAATTTGCTGGCTCGCCTCTTTGGCTCAGCAGTTTGATAACTGGTTCTCCAACCCGAGCCACAATAATGAGAAAGCACAGGACGAAGATATCGAGAAAGGCTCTGGCTCTGCCGGCCGTCTAGTTCGAGGCGACATCACGGATCTGGGGTAGCCTCGGAAAGGGAGGAGATAAATGGGGAGGTTAATGGAATAAAGATATTATCCTGCCTGGCATTACAAGCTATACTGGGCCAAACCACTGGTCCAAAAAGGGAAGACCCCCTAATCGGCCACAGAGAGAGTCGTTATATCATCGACATACATGAAAGGTCGATTCTCAGCTGCATTCCATCGGATTTTCGTTGACAAAGGCCATATCAGGATACACAGGGAGCGAGCCCTGGCTGGATATCGTTCTGAGACCAGGCCATGCACGGGAACTTATCTCGTACCCTTATTACACCAAATAATTACGCCAAACCGGGGGACTCGACAGCCTTTAGGCATATCGATATTAACACCTGAGAATACCTTCTTCTGCACTGCTTCGACAGCAAGTAAATAGTCACTGCGGAGCTTCAAGCCAGAAATGGTCATCGTTGAAGAAGCATCTCAGTTGACAGAATCGACGCGCTTAAATGGCATAAGCAAATATTATGCGTCGTTGAGAACGGTCTTTCCCAGCGAGGATGTTTGCCAGCTCCCTTCTATACCATGATGTTATGCCATGGGTCTATTTAAGAAGCAAACTCACCTACAGCTTAATCCTTGAACTTGATATCATGTCCAATTCCATGAGAACAAGAGAAGAAAGTACCTTGAGTCTTTAAGCCACACAGTACCATTGCCTAAGAATCCTGATGACCGAGAACGCCCGTTATTCGCCCTTGGGACCCGTTGGGTTGGCCGGGTTGAAGGCACCTTAGAAGTCTGGGTGCAGGCCAGGAGGGCAGAGAAACACTAGGGGAGGAAGCAAGTAAGTTCGAGTCCATTTCTCCCCGCTTGATTATGGAAAGCCGTTAAAAGCAGTGATAACTAACTGCAACTAACTACGTTGAACGTGACAGACAGCCAGTTAACCCTATATCAAGCACATTCAAACCTCAATTGACGTTAAAACGTGGCAACGCACGTTACATTGGGAGCATGCCATCTTTTTGTTTCAACCAAAGGTCCTCAAGATGGCTTCGTTTGGGGTCGAGATAATTTCCTCTCGGACCAAGCAAATTTTCCGAGTCTCCCTATTCAAGAGCACACAGGGTTCAATTAAACAGTCAACTTGTGGACTCGGAAAGACCATTCAGGCACTCGGATTGGTATACCTTTCAGCTGGCACAAGTCGTCTCTCTACCCGGAAGGTCACGAAAGAGCTCCGACTTTTCACTGCTAACCCCTTATCATTTCTACTGCTTGCGCCTGTCCACCAAGATCAATGGTCAACATTTAAAAAAGTAACGGGAATTGGTATCGTTGACTGATAATGCATCTATGTAGTCTAGTACTCAATCAATCGAATGTCACCTTGGTCCCCTTTGCCTCCACTATAGCTCCAGACAGTTTCTGTACAGTTTCCGTAGAGTACTGGCCGTAAGACTTGATAGGCTTCTTGCTCTTCTGCTTGAGATTGACACTTCCCTGCGTAGCCTCACTCGCAGGCCTATTATTAGAGCCAGCCTCTTCTTTCGTCTCCGTCTTCTCCTTGCCAAACCGCTTCTTGTACCGTGTCGTTGAGTCCTCTGCAAACTCCATGCGTAGGTTACGGCCCTGAAGCCGGTTCACCCATACTTTCTTCATACGCCGCTTCTTGGGCTTCTTCTTCGTACCCGCGCCGTTTGCTCCCTCAGCTCCATCTTCTTCTTCCTCTTCCTCTTCCACTTCTTCTTCTGCTTCCTCTATTTCATCGTCTGGATCAGGTATTTTGACAAACCCGCGTACAGCAGCTTGGCTGGACTGGGTAGACTCGAATTCCACCCACGCATAGCCCTTGCATTTCCCAGAGTCTTCAAACGTGGCGACGTGTATGTTCGATATGCTTCCACAGGGGC